ATGAGATTAGGAGAGACTGTTATACCTGTTGACACCCAGCATTTAATTTTTGCGCAATTTCGTGTTAAGTATACAACTTATATGTTACCATTGAAAGATTGATTGTTGATTGCTAAACTTGCACTGGGAAATATTTCATGCATGATTAGGATGAGAAAAAAATACAATGAATCAAATAGGTAGGTCGACCGGAATAAAGGGCCAGAACTTTTACTGTCACAAGAAATGAATATATGTTGGATAGGAGCAACGAGCCAAATGCTGATCCCTTAAATGATTGTAGCAACGGTTCGTAATCATGTTGCGTGTCTGGCACGCTCTCTTCTTGTGGGACTTGATTTGACGTCCCCATTATAATTGGACGTGGATGCGTATTTATACACCCAAAACGAAGGCTCTTTTGGGTATGGGTTTTACTATCGTATGAGCGAGTTCTAGGGATGACCATATTGCTATACCATAGTCAATCCGTGAGGCTAGTTATAATCTAGGAACTAAATTTCAACTTAATCGAAAAAGGAGAGATAACTGTTTCGTTTATTTGGTATATGTGGACAATCATCTTCTAAAGAGCACCAAGTGCTACAAAAACAATTTGATAAAATGTTGGCAAATGTACAACCTGTAACGAACAGTTTTGAAAGGGTTTAGCCATTTCACGGTTTCTTCACAGATGTCATAAATATACTTTGACATATGCGTCTTGAAAACAATAAACTTTTCTTTCAATTTGTTCGTTGTAAAACATAACAAGCGAATGTTCCGACAAGGGATACTGAAAGAAAATAGTGATGTTTGAGACTATTGTTTAGTTTACATCAATTATCAGTTGAAATTTCGCGTTTTCCATCGAGACTCAGAAGAACCCGTAAATAGTTGCTATATACATGAAATATTTATTTGGACAATAATCATAGATTTCTATTCGATAACATTTCTCCCATTTCTCATTTAGACCCGATGACAAGATATAAATAAAGCATTGGTAAATTTCCTTTTAGATTGATTGATTGGTGGTTGTTTAAATTCCCTTGTAGGGTCTAATGAAGAACCTGTTTACCAGTTTATAAGAGTCTAATGATAGTTTGTTGGTATAACATCCAAATGTCGTGTTCATTCTATTTTCGTCTTCAATCAATAATTAACTCCGGGATGTAGCTGCGCACGACTTGAATAAAGGAGATGTGGAGGTAAATGTCCATAAGACAGCAAAATAATAAAATAAAACAAAAAGCATCTGCAAGTCATTATTTTTAGTTGAATCCAAAACAGAAACGTTCAGAGAAAAACAAATCATCAAAGATACCAGGCTTATAATTTTGAATGCTATACGCGTAGGAAACAGTTGGAAGGCCACATGAAATATGAAAACGTAGAGCTTTAAATGCCGAAAAGTTGTGCTAAATAAATCTAAGGCAATCTATACCTTGGGCTAGAAAAAACTGATTGATTATTTCTTTACAGTTAAAAAGTAAAATAACAAAAACCGAACTCCAGGGAAAATTAAAAACGGGTAGTCCTTTATCAAATGGCAAAATCAAAAGCTCAAACACATCAAACGAATGGAAAACAACTGCAATTTTCCTCACTTGGTACAGGCATTTTCTTCGGTAGAAAATGGTGGATTAAACCTGGTTTTATAGCTAGCTAACCCTCTCACTTGTATGACAGGCGCATAAAATTCCATTATATTGACAACAATGTGGTCCGAGAACACAGTTATCGCCCTTTGATTTTCTTTGTCTACAAATATAATCCCTACTGTCAACAGTGAATTAGTTGCAATCTTCTTCATACCCCTTCCAAATGTATTTCTTCATGTTTTATGCCTCGAATAGCAAGAAAGGGGATGAAATTACACTGTAAAAAAATTTGGGTCATGAATTTTTAAATAAAGTAGTGATTTGGTCCAGCTGAAAAAGGTTAAAAGTTAGTATGTCTGAAGCTCAAAAGAATTCAGGACCCTCTTAACATAAAATTGTTCATATTTTGAGTTAAAGCAGATGAAATTTTCTATAATTTTGATATAATTTGTCCCAAAAGTAGTACACCACACTGTAAAATATTATTGAGAAAGCGCAGGTGGGATTTTTTTTAATTTTCATTTATTGTCTAAAAGAAATGGTGTCAGTTTGTCAAACTGCATAAAAGTAAAGGATTTAAACTTTTATTTAAAAGAAATTCTGCAAAAATGTCCCTTTTTGGCATTATATGGTCAAAATTAGCATTTCCAAGCCTTTTCCAAATTTTCCATGTGTCAATATTTGTGTTTCTAGTCTTTTATCAAGTTTTATTATTCATTTGTGAACTCTGAATCTAGAGAAAAGTAGATTATCACAGAAAAAAATGTGCAAAATGTGTTGTATGAATTGTCCTCGTCTAACGGCCTGTTTGAAGTAAGCAAAATGTGAGGAGCTTTGTACATAAAGTTGAGGTCCATCACAAAGATTTCACTAAATTTGTATAAAAAGCACTTTGCAATGTCTTTTGCACCTGTTTCATTTCACATACTGTCTTTCTTTTCTTCTGTAGGAAAGTATGTGGTTCAAATATATGCCTGTTGAGACTAAAATTACATGCAAGTTTTTTACTGAAAAGTGTAAAAACTTTGTATCAGACCATACTGTCTGCAAAAAAAAGTTTAATGCAAGAGTCCTTTTGTACTCAGACTTCTTGTATCATGTCAACTGCGCATAGAAATGAGCAAAAAGAAACAAATTTCTATTTCCTATAGCTTCAGTATGCATTTTTAAATGTAATTATGTGCTACGGCCTAAATTGACCCTAAATTATTTTCAGTCTTGCTTTGCCTAGCTAAGACCATTTTATACTCATATCATAGGTAATTTGTAGTTTTTCTTTCCATTTAAAGTACATAAAATAATATGGAAAGATTGTTTATAACAAAAAAAAATCAAAAATTTTAAACTGCTTGAAATTATTACATCTTCATTTAAGGCCCCCGTTCATTCGAAAACCTCTATTTTCAAGCACATGCTCATTTGAATTTGACTTTTGAAAAAATGTAATAAATCTGATACATCATATGAGTATACTATTGCTTTTAATACATGTTATATAAAATATAAGGGCATCTTAAAAGTAATTTGTCGCAAAATTTGAATTTTTACAGGCCCAAATGTTGTTATTTGAAATTCTTCAATTTTAACGTCAAAATTTAACACGCAAAGTTGAATATTAAAATGGTTATATTGTCTATAGTATATATTCTATTGCCATTAAACTTGGCCAACAGACTTATAATTTGTTAAGCCTTAGTCATACCAAGTTTTATTAAGATTGGTTAAGTCTTTCTATCCTATTAGGTCCGAGAACACAGTTATCGTCCTTTGAATTTCGTTGTCTACAAATATATTTCCTACTGTGAACAGTGTATTAGTTGCAATTTTTTTCATACCCCTTCCACATGTATTTCTTCATGTTTTATGCCTCAAATAGCAAGTAAGGGGAAGAAATTACACTGTAAAAACATTTGGGTCATGAATTTTAAAGTAAAGTAGTGATTTGGTCCAGCTGAAAAAGGTTAAAAATTAGTATGTCTGAACTTTCAAAAGAATTCAAGACCCCTTAACATAAAATTGTCCATATTTTGAGTTAAAGCGGATGAAGTTTTCTATAATTTTGATATAATTTGTCCCAAAAGTAGTACACCACACTGTAAAAATATTATTGAGAAAGCGCAGATTGGATTTTTTTCATTTTCATTTATTGTCTAAAAGAAATGCACTACGAAATAACTGTGTTCTCTGGCTATGTGTGAACAAAACAAACAGACATAAAAGGTAAAAATGTCAAAAATAGGGGTACAGCAGTCAACATTGTGTTATAATCTTAATCACTATAAAATCAAACAAATATGTCAATAAAGAAAAAAAAAATGGCATATAGACAAAGCACATAAGCAAAAATGAAAGACAAAATACAACAAATGACCAGAGCACAATAACACAATGGCGGGATATATAAGTACCGAGCCACGCCAAAAGGATATAACCAAAAATGGACTAAACAGTAAAAGTTAATAATTCACAAAGACAAATAAAAGAACACTAAAAAAATAATCAAGATAATAAACAACGTCAGAACCTACTATACTTCAAGATTTGTGAAGTTGACGCGGAATATTTATCAACAAGGTCTTGGTATCTACCGATGAACTTTTTTAGAAAAAGGACGAGACGTTCTTTGACATAAACCTGGTTCGTTAACTTTTTGCTCAGACACTGGTGACGTTTTATAAAGTCTGAGTAGCAGCTGCAAACTCTTGAATATCGAATGAGTTGGAAAATGTATATCCCATATGCAGGTGAAGTTGGTATATTGCTGCTAAGGTTGGGGAAATTGAAAATTTTGTTTGTCATAGATTCTGGTACTGAGATGACCGCTTATGTCAAAATCGAGGTATAAGGCTAAAAACGAGGCGGAGGAAGCCGTGTCTGTTGTTTCTGTAATTTCTAGTTCTGGAGGATATATTAATGGAACCCAATCAGAAAAGTTTGGGTTGTTAATGGAAAGAACATCATCAATATATCTGAGCGTGAAATTAAATGATCTGGCTTCTTTGATCTTCTTGTTTTGAAAAGTGTCTGAAGGAACTCCGACTCATATGAAAATAAAAAGAGGCCGATACAGACAAAAAACATAAATATGATATTTCATGTCAACACAAAATGATAACAACTATGGTGGTGACACATTCGGTGCGAAAGGTCCGCCAACATTGGCATCGACCCAGTATTTGTAAAAACCCATAAAAGATACTAGGAGTAAACATGTGTACGCCAGACGTACGTTTCGTTTACATGAGACTCATCAGTGGTGATGGAATTAAACAATTTGGAAGGTCAAAAAAAGTTTTAAAAGGAATTCAATAAAATCAGCAAGCTATTACCAATGGTATTATGACGAGCTTCTGGTTGTATGTTTTCTTTGTTCTGTAAAACTTTATTCTTTTTCTGAAATCATTTATTCTTTTTCAGATGATAACTCTTTAGCGAAGGACCTTGAAAAGAAAATCCGAGTATTGTGCTGGGTTATGACCTGCCCACAAAATTTAGATAAAAAAGCTATACATGTAAGGAAAACATGGGCTAAAAGATGCAACATTCTTATTTTCATAAGTTCCGTTACAAATACTAGTTTCCCTACTATTGGAGTGAATGTATCAGAGGGACGGGAACATTTGACTGGTAAAACTATGCAAGCTTTTAGATACGTATATCAACATTATAAAGACAAGGCTGACTGGTTTATGAAAGCAGATGATGATACTTATGTCATACTAGAAAATCTGAGATATTTTTTGAATGATTACAAAACTACTGACCCCATTTATTTTGGACATCATTTTAAAACATTCGTAAAACAAGGTTATTATAGCGGCGGTGCCGGTTATGTGTTGAGTAAAGAAGCTTTAACTAGATTAATAACAAAAGGGAACGACCCACGAATATGTCGTAAAGACGGTGGTTCAGAGGACTTAGAACTTGGAAAATGTATGGAGAATCTTGGTGTTAAAACTGTCAATTCAACGGATGCATTAGGAAGAAGCAGATTCCATTGCTTTGATCCAGAAACTCATTTATTCGGTATATATGGGGATTGGTATTACCAATATGACGCCAATGGCGCTAAAAAGGTAAGTAACCATACAATTCATTACATATTCGGATTGTGTTGTGTCTTTCATGTTTGTGTTATATAGACGAAGGAAGCAAACAGCAGGATTTTTTTCAATGTTAAACAATTTACAGTTACATATGTATGTTTTATATGCATATGATGCTTTGATATACGACCGTATAACGGTATGGCGATGTTGTCGTTGTCGTCATCCGAAAACATTTGGTTTCTAGGCAATGACTTGAGTATAAGTGTATGGTATTATACCACAAGGTTCCATACCACAAAAGTAAGGTTGGATAGAATTTCGGTCTTATTGCCGTATCCTCTAAGGAATTAGGGGTCATACACAGGCAAATTTTGTTCACGTAGTTTCGATAACAGAAAATCTAGTTAATTTGATAAAAGGTTTCCTACCAATTACAGCTTAAACTTAACTCCTTCATGGAGCATTTTAAAAACTTACCTAATATTGTCCATTAATAAATAAATCAATTAAATTGTTGGTGTATTTCGATACGCTGAATCTAACCATGTATTTAGCTTTTGGATATTGCACCATAATAGGTTAAAGTCCAATTTCAAATTTTTCAGTTCTTTGACATATTCATTCTGTGTCGGAAACCTATGCTGTGTCAAATATTCAATCACAATCCAAATTCAGATATGTACCAAGCTTGAAAGTAGTATCCATACTTGACCTGACTGCCCAGGGTTCGACCTCTGCGGTCGTATAAAGCTGTGCCCCGCGGAGCATTTTATTTTAATTGTTATGTATACGTTATCATACGCCCGTTTACGAGACCATTTTGATACACCGTTGTCCGTCCGTCCGTCTGTCCGTCCCTCGTCAACATGTCGAACAATAACTCAAAAAGGTTTTAACAATTTTCATGAAACTTTGATGAATTGTTTAAATCTATTGACGTAAGCTCCCTTTCGATTTTTATAAATTTTAGATTTTACGTTTCCGAGTTATGGAATTTTATTTATGAGAATATGGGATTATCCAGTTTTCGGACAATAACTCAAAAATGCTTTGAGCAGTTTCCATGAAACTTTGTTGGCTGGTTTATATATATTAAAATAAGCTCCCTTAAGTTTTATACATTTCTGATAGGGCATAGAGGAGTAATGGAACTTTATTCGTTGAAAAAGCGACGGGCGTATCATGCGCTCGTGGCGCAGCTCTTTATTATATTTACAAAAATATTCTTACTAAAAAAAAAACAACATCAATAAGTAAAATTTTCTCCAAAAATGTTTTATTTTATTGCGTTCAGAGAAATTATGTTTTATAGTTTCTACCTCTTTACAACTGGCACATTCATTTGTATACTAGTATGTTAAATCAATAAGAAGATAGTTATTAGAGACTATTGTATATTAAAATTTCGTATTGAAAAGCTTGTATTTTACTTTCAATAGTACATTTAAAATCCAGTGAATAAATATTTTTCCATTTTCATCACTAATTTCTTTATTAAATCTTTCTTCAGACCCTTGTTGTGAAACAGGAGAAACATGTCTATGATCGATAAAAAATAAATAAACATCTTTAGCGAACAATTTAATGATCGGCATTTGTTTATTATCATGCTCAAAAACAAATCCAAATGAGTTGCTGTTAGGTGACATGTGTTGCTTTATTAACACTTTCCAGTCACGTTGTATAGCAAGTTTGATAGATAGAATGTCTACAAAAATAACATTTGGGTTATATTTTAAATTAATAGCGTCATGATACAAAATTTCACCATTGTCATCTACAATATCATTGATGAACATTATGCCCCGAATGTGACCTACCGAATTAGACTTATTATCGGGTTTGTACTTACATGATCAACACGATGGGTGCCACATATGCAGCAAGATCAGTTTACCCTTCCTGAGCACCTGCGACCACCCCCGGGTTTTTTTGGTATGGTTTCTATGTTGTGTTGGGTGTATTGTTGTTGTCTTTTTTTGCCATGGCGTTGTTAGTTTATTTTCAACTAAAGAGTTTGAATGTCGCTTTGGTATCTTTCGCCTCTCTTTTGTGCTTTTCATGTGCCAAGATCTGTACAAAATACTCGTACTGTCAACTTTTACAAAAGGAATGAACCAAATAATTTTTTTTCTAACATGAAATGGATATAACGGGTTAAAAATCCCCTTGAAACGTTTCCAAGCAGATAAAACTTCTTTATAAAATAAGAAGTGCTTTTAAATTTAAAAACGGAAATTCAAATCTGCTCATAAATAAATCCTGTAAATCAAATAGATGGAAGAATGTTTCGGAAACATGTTTCCATTTCGAGTCATGTTCTGACAGAAATCGTTTCACCCACATAATTTGAAGGGATAACAGCTGTAATTCAAAATTTGGGAATTTCAGATCACCCTCGCTAGAAGAATTTTGAATAACTTCCTATTTAACATTCAGAGTACCATTATTCCATTAACAACTGTTAGTATCACGTTGTATTTCAGTTACATAATATGTTTGTTACATGAGTAAATGAAATGACATAAATTAGCTTAGATAATGCAATTGATTTGAAAATCACAATTTTATCGATCAAGGAAAGGATTCTGAACTTCCACACTTCAATAAATGATTTCATTTTTTCTATTCATGTATCTAAATTAGAACTAACCATTTCTTCACAAGCATAAAATTCAAACCTAAGATTTTAAAGTCATCGGTCCTCCAATCCATGTTGCTAGTTTGTCGGTTTTAGAAAATTTTACTTTTGACCCAGAACACTTCTCTAGATCATTAAATGAGTTCAATGAATCTGGTCCAAAAAAGACATCTTTCAGAAAACAAGTGGTATAATCAGCTAACTGTGAAATTTTTATTTCAGTGTCCCCAATTTGTATGCCAGATATCTGATTGTACTTACGAATACTTATTGCCAGTAGCTACACGGCCAAAATTAATCACAAAAAGAGACAATGGACACCCTTGTCGAACACCGTTCTTTATTTGAGATGGGTTAGAACTAAATCCATTATTAACTACAAGACTAAATATATATTTGAGAAAATAATTAAGATCCATTTCCTGAACTTGATGCCAAAATTAAAACAAACCAATGCTTTTTGAATAAATTTCCATTCTAGCGTATCAAACACTTTTTTCAAAATCGACTAGTAATATAAGACCTGGATACTTCTTTCTTGTTGTTAACAATATGATATCAGCAGTAAGTCGTCGATTTCCACCAATGTATCTACCAGCCACATATCCCATGTGATACGGATTTATAAGTTTTGGAATAAATTGTTTGATCTACTGAGAGGGTTCCGGTTTGGAAGGAAATTCATAGATTTCTATAATGTATTTTTTATGTCAATCAAAAACATTTGTAGGACGCAGTTGTTAGTCCGTCTGTACCAGGGTTTTTATTATTTCTAAATGATGCATCGCATATATGTTATACTGCTTCTGTAAGCTTAGGAATAAATCCAAATAAAAAAGTTAGAATCCCACGAACATTTATCGTCTTCTTTTGACGAGTATTTTTTCATAGAAACTTATCTCTTCGTCTAGTATTTTATCTTGTGATGTAATTTCAATTTTGTTTACAAATAATTTGCTGATACATTTATTTTAATAATTGCGTTTTTCTAGTGACTAGAATTATTTAGATTTTTTTCTCGTTGTTTCCGCTGTGCTCGGCGTGTGATAGCCCACTTGTTTGATTGTTTACTATATATTCTAAATCCTCTTTAATCATATCTAATGAGTCAAAAGTTAAATCACAAAAATACTGAACTCCGAAGACAATTCAAAAAGGAAAGTCCCCAATCAAATGGCAAAATAAAAAAAAACCAAACACATCAAACGAATAGATAACAACTGTCATATTCCTGACTTGGTACAGGCATTTTCTTATGTAGAAAATGGTGGATTAAAACTGGTTTTAAAGCTAGCTAAACCTCTCACTTGTATGACAGACGCATCAAATTCCATTATATTGACAACGATGTGTGAACAAAACACACAGACACAATAGGTAAAAATTTCACAAATAGGGGTACTTCAGCAACACGAACCCCACCAAAAACTGGGGGTGATCTCAGGTGCTCCGGAAGGGTAAGCAGTTCCTGCTCCACATGTGGCACCCGTCGTGTTGATCGTGTTATTACAAAGCCAGTAAATAGTCTAATTCGGTAGGTCACATTCGTGAAAAGGGAACGGGATTGTAGTTACGACATAAGGAACATATCCGATATCATCTGTGAAACGGATATTCCATAACGGTCAACCAACTCGTGATGGCGTCCGTAAAATTTACGAAGTGATGATTTCAACTGCATTATTTGAAACTCGTGGTTTAAAAATGAAAAGGTCACAATTGGGAAGCTGAAATCATCTCTTTTGTCGTAAAGTTTTGTTTTCAACCGACCCTCATAGTCAATTTCTAGATATAAAAAGTGTATTAATTTCTTTATATAAGTAATTACGAGAGAGAATTTCGTCTTGTCGTGTTTTTCTAAATTGGATTTTCTTTCCGGCAATTTCATGTTTTCATACTTGGAATATTTGACGGTTGCGCCTCTTATTTCACTTTTTATAGTATCCCATTTGAAATTTCTATTTTCGAAATTGTGATATTGAAATCATATATTAAATATTAATTATATCGCCATTCGTTAAAATGTTATTAAAACAGAATGGAGATGAAAAGATAGATAGGAGCTAGTGACTCAGACGACTAGGCTACAACACTAACGGTGTGTAATTTGAATACTAGTATCCTGTATATTATAATAAAAATCAGTATTTTAGTATTTTAAATGGCTTAGGGAACACTCGAATGCTAGTAAGAAAGTAATATCGTTACAGGACGGATGGTTGTGTTCCGAAAGGTAAAAAGTATTACTGCAGGTCAACACTATTTGTTCTCATATTGGGACATTTTGAATATCTATTAACCCTAGTACTGAGTTTCAAACTAAGTAATACTGGTACCGTAGCTGGCTAAATGTCAAGGAAATGGTAGCTTAGCAGGCAAAACAACCTAGGCACTGGTTTAACATGGTAGCCCACAAACTCATTACCACTTACGTAATTAGTAAGCAACCAACAAACAATCTATCAATACGTTTCAAGTTCACTACTGAACGGTAGATAACCAATATTCTATCAAGTATACTATGCATTGCTATATTGTATTTTCAGAAGTAACAAAAAACAATGTATCAATCAATACCATGTTCATTTCTATACAGTAAATAACCAATAAACAATCTAACAATAAGTATCCCGTTCACCTCTCTAGGGAAAACAACCAACAAGCGATCGACCAAGAAGTATCCCGTTCACTTCTCTGTGGTAAGTAGCCTTTGACACAAAACTGCCCAACATGATGTTTCGCGGAAAAATGAGATACACCATTTTTCTATGTATAATATAAGGTTTTGATAATCTATATTGTCTTTTGCAGGGAACAGAAAGTATAAGTGACTATGCCATATCTTTTCATTATGTGCCTCCACAGAAAATGTACGCATTAGAGTTTTACATATACCATTTACGTCCATACGGAATAGAATCAGGACATCAACATTTAAATATGCACAATGGACATTGATTGATTTAGCCGAGTTAATTTTATGGACCGGAATCAAAACGTTTTGGCAATAGCATAACATTGGTCAAGTAACAATGTCGTATTGGGTAAATACAATTGAGTTAACCAACGAACTAGTAACTCGTCAGAAGTAATTTACAGCCGCTTTTAGTGTACACTTGATTGACCATTGACCGAAGTTCAGGGATTTGATCTTCTTGGGTTGAACTGCAAAAATTGAATATATCAAACCGTATAAACTCTTAATTAACAGACGAACCTAATCGTATGTCCATAAATTATGCAGTATTTGTTGAGTGATGAAATCGAACACATGATTTTCATACTACACAGTGACTGTTATTTATAACTCATATTTGTTTCAAGTGTATTCAATTCGACGTAGGCAAATATTAAACAATGACATGTAATACAATGGCAAAATAAAAAAAAACCAAACACATCAAACGAATAGATAACAACTGTCATATTCCTGACATATTTTAGAAGTTAATTGGACATTTATATTTAAATATGTGTTTGGTTGCATATTATCTATTAATATACTTACTTTGTTTTTCTATTACTAATATGTTTAAAAGACGAAAATGTATTTAATTAAGTAGTTACACAGTAACTAGCAAGAAACATCTGAACAAAAACCTGTTTTCTTTCATTTTATAATACACTTTATGTAGCATGAGACGTGGTTCCCTCAGATTTTATTTTTACTTTGATTTGTATCTCTAAAATTGATTTATGAGATTGTCGCGTAGGTAAACTACTTTTGACTGGAATTTATTTGTTACATTTGATAGTGTTTCATACAAGTACCAATTTTTATTTTCAATGTGGCCAATGAAATGTACGATCAAAATTATGAAAAAAAGATTAGTAAAGTCATCAATAGCATAAAAATATTCCAATGTTACTGCATCAGATTTGCATTTTGACATTTTATGTCTCTTCAGTGATAATTGATGCCGAATAATTGAAAGTCCAAACTCTTATGTAAACGTTAAAGAGCTGACGAAAACAAAAAGGACCGAGAGTAAGTCTAAACCCAAACATCAATGAATTACGTTTTCGGAATACAAAGCTTAACGTAGAAGAGATAGTTAAAAAACATCTTCATGATTTACTCTGTAATTGCATCAAATTTGATGATATGAAAATATTTTGAAAATGATATTAGACAAAACCACAATAAGTACTAGATCTGAGGATTTGAGAAAACATTATAAAAGTTGAGACTGTCTTAACTTTGGACCTACAACTTTCATTCGATTGTTCACATTAGTATGGATTAAATAGATTTACCCACAACTAGCCAGTATAATTATATAGAACGTTGATTCTTATATAGAAAACATATTGTGTGCATATTGAGTACATTTGTTATGTCAAATGTACTTTGAGTACATTTGTTATTTACAACTCACATCGAGTCCATTTTTGTGTAGAATATACTCAAAATAGATTAGTTATTCACGATATTCATACTTTAAGAGAAACTAAAGATACCAAGTTGATATTCAAACTTATAAGTCGATTACAAACAGACAACACCATGACAAAAAAAGAAAAACGACAAAAAAGACAAACAACAATATACAAAACACAACATAACATAGAAAACTAAGGACTAAGCAAAACAAACCCTACCAAAAACCGGGAGTGATCTAATGTGCCCCGGCAGACATCACATTTTCATCCATGTTGTGATTTCAATATAATTCAATCAATTAAATTGTGATCAATTAAAGACATTTCCTTTTTACAGTTAAGAAATCAATTTAGGATTAGTATTCAAAAGAAATAAGTAAATAGCTGCTACCGATATACAGTGATTATAGTTTGCTTTAAATATACAAGACTAATATATTACAAAATTTGCCCTGAGGATAAACTTTGAATTCTAATAATATGGATAGTGCAGTCTTTTTCCGGACTATGGATATTTTTTTAAAAGGAACACGGTATGTACTGAATTTACGAGAAAAAAAAACTGTCGTTGCCGATTGGCAGTTTACCTTTTCTTGACGGCAATTTCTCTGAGGTCTTATTTTACAGTGTGCTTAATTCGTTTGCTATATATCTTTGTCTGCATTGACGCTTTGAATTTGGAGGAACGTTAAATTTGTGTAACATGAAAACTGCTGTCGTAATTGACTTAAATCCGTAAAAAATGCTAAAATCCCAAATTATGCATACGTTAATATTGTATCCATTGTTTAAAAGTTATAGTCTTTTGTGTTACCATCCGAAGACCGGATTGAGGTTACGACAGTTGGACAGTATTCGTTGGTATCTGTGACATAGATATTCCATAACGGTCAATCGCATCATGATGATGTCCGTAAAACTTTCGAGGGAATGACTTAAACTTTACTAATACGAACCCTGGGTCCATAGCCCCGTTGTGAGTAGCAACCCTCTATCAAGGAAATCATTATAGCATAATTTAAGGTTATTATTGGCACAAAATGCTTAAGTTTATCAGAAAAAGAGGCAGAAGATATCAAGTGGAAAATAAAAAATTATTACTCGATGAATAACAGACAATCATAGCCATCAAAAGAAAAATGTAGAAAATACCAACAACATTACTCAAAACACTACACAGAAAATTAAAGTCTCAGCAAAACGTGCCACACCGATAAACCGGGGATGATTTCAGGTTCTCCGAAAGGGTAATCATATCCTGCTCTAAAAGTGGCAGCCGTCATGTTACTTATGGCAAGTAAAAATACGATGATTAGTCGCATTCAGTGATGTCATAATCGAGGAAAAGAAGACGGAATGGGTTGTGGTTTTGTCAATTTGACAATATCGATGGGGATCTGTGACACAGACATTTCATAGCGATCAACCGTATCTTGAAAGCGTCCGTACCACTTTCGATGACTTCAACTTTAAGGTCAATAGGTTTGTTGAAAGCAGCAACGCCATATCAAGGAAATCATGAAAGAAAACGCAACTCTAGAATGTTATATCAACTGGTAGATATATATTCCTTATGTGTGCGCTGCTTGAATTTGCTTCATAGAAATAGAATGTTTACAGTTTGAAAAATAAGACAAGATATGAAGCAGACTTTGTTGTATCTGTGATATTCCTTATTCGAAGTTCGATGAGAAAAATGCGTTCAACATAGTCACCAAACTTTAAATTATTAAGTAAGAGGATATCATCTATAAACTGAAACGTGAACTTAAGGTCAAGGTTTGATTTTTTTCTTTTGATATTTGATGATTTAAGACAAACGTTTTTTTTTGCCGATTTTATGGGGTTTCGATCCACATGTTAACCTATTTTGAAAGAATTCAATCAGCAAAAATTCAGAGATGAATGCATTATTTTTTCGATTTTCAGTTATAGTTCAACGAGCCAAAGTTGTATGCAAAATTTTACCAAAATATGTGACATATCCCATTTACTGTGACCTAACCTTAACGGATATCACTGTATTTTTTCACTCTTTACGAGAAGCACATGGAAAAAGCTTAAGTCAACCCTCATGTGAATAAAGGAAAAAATCGGTAATGTGTATATTTTTTGTCTCATCTTTTATTTATGTTTGTTTGTATTTAGTATTTATAAAAAAGTAATCGAATGGAAAAAAGATTCAAAGAAAAATGTTACAAGAGTAAATATTAAAAAAAGGAGAAGTAAAATTTAGTACATATTGCAATATAACATATGTTTCATAATTATGTTGCTAACAAGCATATTTGAGTATATCCAAAACAAAAAATGACAAGTTTTGTTTCCTAAAAGAGATAATACACTATTATTAAAAAAAAGTAAAACCGGCTATTTTTTTTTTATCTAAAACAATTGGGTCTACCTCTTTTATCTATAGAAGACGTATCACGTAACAAGATCAGAAGAAAGGTAAAGAATAACTTACATTGATAAACATTCCTAGTACATCAACAAGGCTTAGCTCATATGAAGTACCTGAAAATAGGGAAAAGAAAAATATTATACAAAAAATAAAATTTTATATACAGTGTTAAAGTGCTATGAAAAAAAACTACATATTAAAAAACAAACAGAAATACATTAATTTTAGACCAAAAAAAAGTCAAACATGCTTCATGTTAGAACAATTAAGCCCACTCTGTATATTTCGTATGTAAGAAATCCAAAATCAGATCTACTTCATCATATATGAAAATATGACTGCATTACTAGCGGAGAGAAAAAATAGGGACAGTATGTTATAGTTTCTTCGTCAAAATCATACATTTGTTTCAATTTGTATGAAGCAACATAATGTGCTTATAATCGTTAACTTTTTACACATTGTGACTTGGATGGAGATTTGTCTCATTGGCACTCATACCACATCTTCTTATTTCTATTATTTGTATTTTCATTATTAGTTCTATGAATTTTTTGTGCAATTTGTCTTTCAGTTATGTAGTAATTGTGTATGAGTACATATATGTATCAAAGATTAATATTGCTCAAAACTCACTTGTGAAACAGACTATAACAATGTTTTTTGCAATCATTCTGAACAATGAATTGGCTACATTAACTACACAACAGAACCAGTGAAATATCGTTCCATCTCTGCCTCTAGTAAGTATTCTACAACTAAAAGTTTTGTGCTTGTAACTAGTTCTTTAACTTCTAACAAATAACTAACAATCAAATTTTGTAATAAAACATATGAAAATAGTGAATTAACTATTTTTGGAATGTAAAAATTTCTTTAGATGTTTTAGATGAATAACTTGTTTTGATGATCCTTTTAATTCGGTTGACAGTTTTTATATTGTTGAAGGCCGTACGGTGACCTATAGTTGTGAACCTCTATGTCATTTGGTCTCTGTTGGATAGTTGTCTCATTGGCAATCATACCACATTTTCTTATTTTTATAATATCTACTATTTTATAAAAAATAAAAACACAAACCTCCCATGTGATAACAGCTAGAACAGATTTTATCGTTTAATTACGTTTGTCTCCTACATGCTTTCAAAATGAGGAACATGGCGATTATTAAAAGAATAGACCATAGGGGTCAGATAGCAGATTTTGAAAAAAAATCTCAAAAACGGGTGGTAAACGCGTTTTATCCATGGATCCGTTAACGAATGTTGGAGTTGTTGGGTTTTTTGGCGATTTTCACATAATAATTGTCAAAAATTCTTCTCCTCTGAAGGTACCTGAGCAGACTGGAACCACACTAAGTATAGGGGTCAAAGTGTTCAGAATGATGAGATCTATCCATTGCCAAATTTCGTGATGATCCATAACTGATGTTGAAATTATTGCCCTTTATTGGTGTATTATGTCTTTTTTTTTATGATTAGACAGTTAGTTACTTTTCATGTAAAAATAGGTTAACGCGACCTTCATTTTCCCGTTGCCATTTTTATGACGTTGGTTAAGTTTTACGTCCAAGTTTATATCT